TTACACTTCTTGGTGTATAAGCTTTGCTTTATCTTGGTCTTAACCAGGCAGCAGAAAAGTATAAAAATGAGGTATAAAAAGTAAAGTCACATTAATATTCTGAGCTGTAAAATGCTCAAGTCAACGACTTCTGACGTTACCGATCCAAAGGAGAGCCCACTACGATTATGGACTACTGGACTATATTAGATTGTCTTGCTGAATTCACATGCCTACAATATTTAAATGGCAATGGAATACCCATCTCTGACAACACTAAACGAAAAAAGGATACAAAGAAGGACCATTCTGTATCTCTATATACAAAATAGTTAGCACAGACATATAGCTTCTTTCTTATAATTCCATGAAAGGAAAGACTTGCACTAATATCCTTTGGCCAGGATGTCATGTCTGCCTCTTATACTAGGAATACCCACCACAAAGACAACTGTGTTATTGATACATTGTGTCAACTTGCTTGAATCAGCTCCAGCTGCGTGGGGGCCTCACCCTGCAGGTGGGCAGGGCCCAGGAATTGAGAAAGGCAGCAAGCCGCAGTGCCAGACTTCCTGCCTCCTGCCACCCTGCCCTGCTCTGGAGAAGTCTCAATCTTCGGAGGATTTTGATCTAGGAAGCCACCCCACTTTGGTGCTCCCATCTTCACTGTGGCACGCTGGTCTTCGCAGTCATTGCAGAAGCAATAGAGAGGCTTGATGGATGCCGCTGCAGCTGCTGCTCCTCCTGTTCTTCATTGCTTTCTGCTGCATGAACTGCTGTTGTTTGCTTTTGAGCCAGTGGAATATGGACTGAACCCTCCTGTAACTGTGAGCTAAATAAACCTTCCCTTCCTTCATTTTGAGCATCGGGTATTTGTCCCAGCAACAAGTAAAAATTAACTAAGACAGAATTTCGTACCAGAGGAGTGGGGTCATTGCTGTGGCTATACCTGACAATGTGGATTACAAGCTTTTGGGACTGGCTCATGGGAAGAGATAGGAAAGGTTTGGAGATATCGCCTACAAGCAAAGTGCTGGAACAGCTTCGGCTGTTCTGTATGGTAGATTCTGGTCCAAGCTCAGACAAGGTTGACAGAAAGCCGGCCTGTAAAGACCACGCCTGGGAGATTTCTGTTGGGAAGGACAGCATTGGTTGTTGGACTGCAGATGATTTGTGTTATGGCTTGGCAGAAGGCTTGTCTGCATTTTGCTCCTGTCCAGAGACTTTGCCTGAGACTGAAATTAAGCACAGTGGACTCGTCAATCTTGAAAAAGAAATTTCAAAGCAGCCAAATGTTGGAGCAGTGGCATGGTTGCTGTTGGGGGCTTTTAGTCAGATTTATGTTAAGAATGAAGAGCAAAAAGCCCAAAAGGATGATTTAAAATGTGAGTTTGGCCAGAAAGAAAGCACCAGGAAGGCTGTGGACTGTGAAGACCAAGCTGAGAGGATCTCCATTACTGAGAAGGAAGAGCAGAGTAGAAAAGATGTCCTGAGGGCATCACAGGAGGTGGCAGGTTCTTGCCCTTTGCAGCCTCAGAATCACAAGAGTGAGGGACTTTGCTTTGAGAAGAAAGCAGCAGAGCCCCATGTTCCAGAATGGAGGCAGCAGCCACACCGGGTTCCAGAATGGAGGCGGCGGCCACACCAGATTACAGAATGGCGCCAACATAGAGAATTTGTTTCTCGGAATCAGAATCAGAATCAGAATGCTCAGCAATCCAGGCACTCAGCTCCTGCAGTCAAGAGAGAAGGAAACTTGCTTACTGCTCCAAGTGGCAGCAGCCCTTGGTATCATCCATGTGGCTTTGGTTGTAGGCGCATGCAGAATGCAGGTGTTCTGAGGTTCAGAAGGCTTCCACCCAGATTTCAAAAGAAGGCTCGGAGGCCAGGCAATGCACACCTGAGAGGGCAGTGTGTGAAGCTGTGAGTAAGAAGCCTATCCAGTGGAAAGCTCAGAAGTTTGAAAAAGCCAGGAATGTGGATAGTCTAAGAAAAGCTACAAAAAGGGAGCAAAGCAGGCCTGAGAGAAAAGCCATAGGAGCTACCCACAGAAGTGCCTTAGGGGAGGAGCCAGGTAAGGCTTTTGGAGCTCACTACTCATTACAGGGTGTTTTGGATGGTCCACGGGGTATTACAGGAATTAACGTTTGCCCTTCTGGACTTTGGACTCGTTTTGGTCCCAACTGCATCCTGCTGGGTATCCCTTTTGGAATGGCAATGCATATCTTGTGCCTGTGAATGTTAGAAGTCTTTAACTTTTCATTTGTAGAGGGGCTCACAGCTAAGAGTTTGCCTTAGATCTTGGAAGCTTGAACTTGGACTTCTCAGTGTTGCTGAAACTGGTAGGACTTTGGCAACTCTTAGAGATGGAATAAAATATCTTTTCCATAAATGGTTGTGCATGAGTCTTTGGAGGGCCAGGGATAGCATGTCATGGTTCTAATGTAATGCAATGTTCAATTTGTAAAATTTTTAAGCATGTCTGTGTACTTGGAAATTGGCTTAAAAAAAGTGTATGTCTAGTTGCCAAGTTGACAAGGGGTGGATTGTGTTAGTTGATACATTGTGTCAACTTGGCTGAATCAGCTCTGGCAGGGTGAGGGCCTCACCCTGCAGGTGGGCTGGGCCCAGGAACTGAGAGAGACAGGAAGCGGCCCTGCCAGACTTCCGGACTGCTGCCACCCTGCACTGCTCTGGAGAAGTCTAGGACTTCAGACAAGCTTGAGCTCGGCAGCCATGCCACTCTGGAGCGCCGATCTTCACTGGGGAGTGCTCGTCTTCGCAGTCATCGCAGAAGGAAGAGAGAGGCTTGATGGATGCCGCTGTAGCTGCTGCTCCTCCTCTGCTCTTCATTGTTTTCCGCCGCATGAACTGTTGTTTGCCTTGGAGCCAGCGGAATATGGACTGAACCCTCCAGTAACTGTGAGCTAAATAAACTTTCCTTGTTTCATTATGAGCGTCGGGTATTTGTCCCATCAACAAGTAAAAAGTAACTAAGACAACAAAATTATGCAATGTATTAATTATTGAAACTGCCCTACTATTCTGTTTTGAAACCGTCTCATTCCCATTTGTCTCTCAATAAAATTTATTATAAATGAATAATTATAACAGAATAAAAAACGGTTAAGTGCACTGTAGCCAAATGACTACCAACAGCAGAGAGAAAATACCAAAAGAAAAACCACATCAAATATCTATATCTATACCTAATACAGTGGCTTTCAAAAAAATATACAACTCATAACAATATTCCAAAGTGAGAAAGTCCTGAACAAGGATAGTAGACATGGTTCTACACAGGGATTGTACTTCAGGCCGCAGAACTGCACACCTAAACATAGGTACAATTTGCATATTGTACTACAATAAAATAAACCCATGCTTCTCAAAAGACAATTAAACAACATTGCAAGCTGTTGAAAGATAAAAGATCGATCAATCTAGAATTCTCCATGTGCAGAAAACATTTGACGACAAAGGGACGAGGCACCTTCCAACACTGCTGGTAGAAATGTAAAACAGTGGCACTACTATGGACAACAGCCTGCCCTTTCTCAAATGATCAACCTTAGGTCTACCAATACTCAAAATATTTGAAAACAGGCTCAAAAGGATGCTTGCAGATAAATGCTCTTAGCACCATTGTTCATATCAGACAAAAGGAGGAAACAATCCAAACTTTCCATCACAGGATATATGGCAAAAATAATTGTAGGCCACGGAGACGGATCAGTAGAATAAGCGCATTCCTGACAAGTGCAAGGGCCTGAGATCAATTCCCAGTTTCCCCCGCCCCCTTGAAAAAATGTGGTAAATCCAGACAATGGAGTATTATTTGGGCTTAAAAATGAGTGAAGTGGGGTTGACCTCGCAAAGGTTCCAGAGTGTCTGTGTACAGACGGCGGACCAGGGTCTAGCTTAGGTCAAGCACTTGCACAGTAGCTGTCCGGCCAGTGGCTAGCACTACTGCGGTCCACGCCCATGTGGAGAATGGCCCTTCCTGTCATTGCGTGCTGGCCTGCAGCTCGGGCTTGAAGTCAGAGCAGGCCTGACCGTGGCTTCAGCTCTGGAGGAGTTACAGGATGATCTAGAAGAGGTAAAGGCATTACTGGAAAAGGCTACTAGGAAGAGCTTACGTGAAACCCTGTCAGCTGAAAAATCCAAGATTGAAACAGAAATAAAGAATAAGACGCGACAAGAATCACAGAACAAACCAGAAATTCTTGACAATGAAAAACCAGTGGCTGTGGTTCCTCCCATCACAACAGGATACACAGTGAAGATCAGTAACTATGGATGGGATCAGTCAGGTAAGTTGGTGAAAATCTACATTACCTTAACTGCAGTTCATCCAGTTCCTGTACAGAATGTGCAGGGGCATGTCACAGAGAGGTCATTTGATCCCAGCCGCTGTGGTTCCTCCCATCACAACAGGATACACAGTGAAGATCAGTAACTATGGATGGGATCAGTCAGGTAAGTTGGTGAAAATCTACATTACCCTAACTGCAGTTCATCCAGTTCCTATACAGAATGTGCAGGGGCATGTCACAGAGAGGTCATTTGATCTTTTGGTGAAGAATCTAAATGGGAAGAATGACTCCATGATTGTGAACAACCTCCTAAAGCCCATCTCAGTGGAAAGCAGTTCAAAACAAGTCAAGACTGACACAGTTGTTATCTTGTGTAGAAAGAAAGCACAGAACACTCGGTGGGAATACTTAACTCAGGTTGAGAAAGAGTGCAAGGAAAAAGAAAAGCCATCCTACTACGATGCCGACACAGACCCGAGTGACGGATTAACGACTGTTTTAAAGAAGATTTATGAAGATGGAGATGATGATGTGAAGCGAACCATTAAAAAAGCTTGGGTGGACTCAAGAGAGAAGCAAGCCAAAGGAGATTCACAAATTTAAGACTTTAAAGTCCTTTTGAAAACTACGATTCAGAAATACTGGTATTTCCAATAAGGGAAGGTTGGTAAG